GTGTGTCTTCCTGGTGGGCGGCGACAGATGGGCTGATTAAAATAGCGACCAATTTCTCTCTATTTAACATTCTCTCAGTTCTTTGCGTGTGTAAAGAAGCTGACCACCTCCTGGCTCTTCTTAATAAACAGCTGAAATGGCTCTGGACGGTAAAACTGCGATAGTGACAGGAGCGGCGATGGGAATAGGGAAAGCGGTAACGGAGATTCTTCTGAAAAACGGTGCTAAGGTAAAGATTAAGCTCGGACTTGGATTTCTTTCTTTGTGTGTGTGTGTGTGTGTGTGTGTGTGTGTGTGTGAGAGAGAGAGAGAGATTATATGTGTGCGCTTGTTTTAAACAGTGGTGTAGAAAAAATATTAATTTACATTTACCGGCACCCTTTAGTTGAAAAAATAACAACTACAAAACAACCGTCGTAGAGTCGCCAAGCTGTTGACAGCATGCCAAATTATGACACATTAACTGGTAACACTTGACTAGCAGCATGTAATCCATGACTAAATGTGGAAATTCACTTGTTGCACACGTCTCTCTTTTTATTAAATTAAGTTTTTTTTCTTCATTTTTTTGTTGCTGTTTTCTTTTATATTGTGTTTTTAGTTGTTCATGCCCCACAGCCAAGAAGTTTTTAATCAGCCTGTGGGGCAGAGAGCAGCTGGCGATGGAGTCAGCAAGAGCCTGTATATTTAGGGGGAGTCTGAACATGTAGGTGTGCCCTTTACTAAACATAAACACCTTGCAAAGCTGCCAAGTTTAATCTTAATCTTTATCTTAGATTAAATGTGGAAATCTACCTGCCGTGTCTGTTTTTGTGTCAGGGCTGCATTTGTTATGTGGTTGTGGTTTATGTATTTTTAGTTCGTAAAGGTTGTGTGTGTGTGGATGAAAAGTGGGCAAAATATTGAGTTTTATGGAGAAAATAAAATAAGACACATGCAGAGGTGACACACGTGACATGATAACTTATTTGAAGAGCTGATGTGATAAGGCCTTCATTATGTAATAACATATTTCAAGTGCAGCTTCTTAAGGCAAAACTAAAGTAGCCTAGTTGTGTACCTAACAAACTGACAACTGATCTCTCCTTCATTGTGCCCACTGGCACAATGTACATTTCAAATTCCTTTAATTTTAAATACATTCATATTGTCTATTTTGTAAAATAGTCAGATTGTCTATTCTTATTTAATTCACTTAATGTACAGAATTCACCTGCTTGCTGAATACATGCTACTACTGCACATTCACCTAATGTATATATTATATATAATGTTCTCTCTCTTAACTTTTGCACAAGTCGAGGAACGTGTTAGGTTACATTTCACTGTGTGTTATACTTGTATAACTATGCATGTAAACCTTGAACCTTGATCCTTGAACCTTCCTGTCAATAGGTTGCCGTCCTGGACGTGAATAAAGTTGAAGGAGAGAATCTAGTTAAAGACTTGAATAAAGAGTATGGAGCAGACCGAGCCCTGTTCCTGAGCTGCAATGTTGAATCAGATGAGGAGTTCAAAGGTAAAGCACGCAAACTTGGAAAAACAAATTGTGAATGGTGGAGGTACCGAAAAGGGGGAAACAGCTGGAAATGCTAAAGTAAACGGGTCACCGGCTCGTCCTGAAGTAAACAACTGCCGAAACACATGAAACTGATCAAACGCGCTGTAATTTCGTAGTATGTGTTCCAGGCAGCAGATGTTCACCAGATGAAAGGAAGTTTCCAAAATTTGGGGACATTTTGTCTTGAGTCATGCCAGTGGCATTTGATTGCGGCTGGAAATCCACATTCTATGAAATGCAGTGAAAAAGGAGAGTAGAACGAGGTCAGTGAGATCTGGAAAAACTGTGGGTACAAGGGAGAGAAGAAAAGCACAGCAAGATTTTAATCCAACAACAGCTAAATTGGGCTTGTTTGTTTCATCAGAGCTCAGAGGAACATTTGAGTCATATTATTTTGTGTTGGAAGATACAGGAACATTTAATATTTCCTAGCATTGCTTAGAACAGAATGTTTACGTGTAAAAAAACAAAAACAAAAAAACTGCAGGTCTTTATCATGACATTTCCCATGCCACTTTTCCATAAAACCTGTCCTAATTTCAAAATATGTCTCAGGGTTGCCAGTTAATAAGCCTAACCCTATAAAGGTGGGTGGGAAAGGTCAGCATAGTTATAAAGTGACTCTTGCAAAGTTAAGTGACTCCTGTAAACTCTCTCAGCTGCCTTTCAGAAAGCTGCAGAAGCCTTTGGAGCAATCGACATCTTGTGCAACAATGCCGGCATCTTGAATGAGGAGAAGTGGCAGGATATGATCTCCGTAAACCTCGTAAGAAGCTGAAAGCACAACAGACGTGTTAGATTTGCTCTGTCTCAAATGGGATTGCTGAAGATTTCAGAGCGACATGTAGGACAGTTATTGGTCTGACATAATAATGTCACAATAATATTCCTGTTATTCATTTCACAACATTTTGTATGCAGGCAAGTGTTCATAGACAGTTGAAAGATTTTCGCCAAATATAAAGTTTGTGTTGTAGGCGGGTGTTATTAGGGGGACTTACCTGGCGCTGGAGCACATGCGCAAGACGAATGGAGGTCGAGGAGGGGTCATCGTCAACATAGCATCTATGGCAGGTAAATACTGTTTAATGAAAACTTGGAGAGATCACAGACAAGAGTGTTAGAAGTCATGCAATTCGGGTTTAAACTTTAATCTTTTACAATGATTGATACAACCCGTCCTACAGGTCTGCTCCCTTTGCTTACCTGTCCTGTCTATACGGCTACCAAGCACGGAGTGATCGGATTTACTCGAGCCGTTGCGGTAAGAAAGAACTCCCCATGATATTGTTCAAGAACATCAAAACGATATTTGTTTGCCTTGTGATATGCTAGCTAGCAGTCTCTATAAACATACATGCGTGATGTAAGTTTTGCCTTAGTTTTTTGTATTAAGTAATCACACTATGAAAACATCTGAAAGTGCAGGGTGTTTCTTGGTGTGGCCTGTCATTGTGCGAAAATGGTGGAGTTGATCAAAAATTTGATCGGTGTGGTGAATAATCACTGTTTCTTATGATCTAAATTAGAGAAGGGTAGCTAGCCTTGTGGGTTGTGGTTGTTTCTGTCGCAGCATAGTTGATAGTTAAACAGCCTTCAACTACACATGGACACAACTCATATGCATCATCAGGCAGAATTAAATGAGAAGAGGTGAGACATATACTTGTACACGCACATACAAAATCCCCAAAACAAAAAGTCCTACAAAAGTTCAGAAAAACTAGAACCAAAACCTAAGAAACACATAAAGCATTCACAACACAGTGCAACTTAGCAAAAATGTAATAAAAGGACATAACTATTTAGAACTGAGCATAACTGATGAGTTGAAACAGCTGGGTAACAAGAAACAGCTGGAACTAGTCAAGTCCAACTAACTCGGGGATGCAAACTACAAACGGTGCTGAAAATCAGATACAAACAACAAACAAACTAAGAATGAAACAGCATCAAATAATAAACAAGAATTTAAAATTTAGCAAAAAAATCAAGGTCCAGCACCCAGGACCATGACAGCATGTGTGAATGCTCCTTTAGTCATTAAGAAGCTGCAGGTCTGATGATAAAGTTACAAGTTAATCGTTACTGGTAGTACTTGCAAAGCTACATTTTTGCAGGGCAAGTACCAACTTGCCCTGCGTCTTAGCAAACAACAATGTGTCTTAGCAAACAACAATGCAAAGTAGTTATCCATGATTACTCTGTTTTTTCTGTTGGATAACAAAGATATTGAATAAAACACACACAACTGATATTAGAAGCTGCACTCTTAATTTGTTGTTATTTGTTCTGCTTTCAGTGGCAATAAAGCTATTCTCTTCCATTGAATTAAATGGCAGTGCCTTGGTTCAGTAGGTCTAATACCAGTTTAATAAAATACATTAGATTAAATTAGATTTATGATATGTGCAATGAAATCATTTATAACAGCTATTTTATGTTAGTGTTCCTGTGATATTATGAAGACTGGGTGATTTAGTGATATGTAAAACCAGTTGTACACTGGTGTGTTGGTGTGCTGCCAGATGGTACTTCGTTAGAATAAGCATAAGCTAAACGAAGACATCCATCACCATATAAGTGACTAACCACACAAAAAAGAAAGTGTCATTGCAAATTAGTCGTACCAGGAATTGTCAAGGCAGTGTCATTATTTTATTTTGAAATCCTTCCTCAAGATACTACCCCCCTTGTACAGAAAGGCCTAGAGCTATGTTGTTGAGTCATTCATCTGATAGGACACAGTTATGCATTTATTATTAAAGTGACCAGAAATGTCAGTTTTTGAAAGATGCTATGGTCGTGTAGTATCTGATCTGTAGCTCTATGGACAATAAGAGCTTTTCTTCTATACACCAACAAAGTGGATTTTAACATTTCTTGCAAACTCTCAATGTGACGTCCAATTATATGTTGACACAAGTAAAGGAGGCCAACATTACAGCGATGGGAATTCTGGCTCTTTTTAGAGAACTCGCTCTTTCGGCTCCCAACCGGCTCTTCGGGTTGTTTTGTTGATAATTTTATATTTTCAACAACAATATAAAATTATGCACAAAATTATGTGTAATTTATGTTGTCTCTTGTTGTTGCCCCTGGCTCTCTTTCTCTCCCTCTCCCTCCTGCTCAACATTGTCATATTAGAAAGTTATAGTAGTGAAAATGAGTGACACCAAGAAAAGAAGCAAAATCTGGAACCATTTCAATTTTATTGACAATACATAGGCAGAGTGTAGAGTGTGCATGAAAAGGATATCATGCTCAGGCACCTGAGAACTGTCCACCCATCAGTGCAATGGGAAGACAAAACGCAGTCAGTTGAGTGTGATATTAATGAAGATGCCAGTGTGTCTACTGCAACAGGTGTCAAACTCCAGGCCTCAGGGGACGGTTTCCTGCAGGTTTTAGATGTGTCCTTGATCCAACACAGCTGCTTTAAACGGCTAAATCACCCCCTCAACATGTCTTGGGGTTCGCCAGAAGCCAGTTAAATCGTTTCGAGGTCATTAGCACAACCAGAATTTATACATAAGGCGCACCGTTGACTTTTGAGGATTTTAAGTGCGCCTTATAGTGCGGAAAATACGGTAGTCACTAACTGCAGTGGATTCTCACTCAAGTATTAAAAACAAGCCTCAGACTTAAAATAATGTTACTCTATCCTACTACTTTTGAGCCTCTGAAAGTGGGAGGCTGTGTTTAAACTCTACTGTGTTGGTGTATTAGAGACAAAAACAATGAGTTGTCCAAAAATCTGCTGCTCATGTTCATTCAGTGCAGAGTTATGAATCAATATGTACATGCACTCTGTGTAACTCCAACCTACTGCTGTTTTTTCAATTTAAAATGCCCAAATAGTCCTCATCTATTGGTCTCCGAACACTTGAGAAATATATATAACCTGCATTTTAATGCCTCCGATTAGAAACAAACAGTAACTTAATGTTTATGTCTGTGCTATGCTTTACTTAAACCAAGAAGGCTAATTATGTGAATTTCTTTTTATTTATTTATTTTTTACTAGGCTGCCTCTGCAGCATCAAACTATGGAATACGGGTCAACGCTCTTTGTCCAGCTTTTGTTGAAACCGAACTTTTTACGGCAATCAAACACAAACTGGGACAATTTGCCCACCTGAAGGGTGTAGCCGACCAGCTTGTGAAAAAGGTTGGGGTGTTAAAGTGAGTAATTTTCTTCTGTTTCTTGTTAAAGCAGTCATAAACCTTACAACATCGACATTTTGTTTCTCTGCTCCATCTGTATAACTTGATATAATAATGCGTACATGCATATTCACTGATGTCACTGTACCTTTTTGATTCAGTACACCTGAGGTAGCAGAGTGCATCCTTGAGCTGGTGACAGATGAGACCAAAAATGGAGAGGCCTTCATGGTGCGCACAGAAATGAAAGGTTACGTCCCTTTTCCATCACTAAGTAGCACCGATAAACCTTGAAACCATCATGTCGACATCGGATATCATTCCTTAAGTATGTAGCAGATATGTGAATAAAAAAAACAACAAAAAACCTTCAAGCATAATTTCTTGTGTCTTTATTTAAAATGCTGTAACCAACTGGAAATCTGACGAAAGTGGAAAAAGGTTATCTAGGAGACCAAAACTGCACCTGCTTTGCCAGATTACACATTTATGAATCTGGTTCATTCTCAGAAAGTGCAGCAGTGCTTGTGTAACATCTATTTGCAACGGCAAAAGGGAGGATGCACTCATATCTGGCACTCCTGCCCTGCCCACCTGAGCCTGAACTACAGTGTATGGAAGAGAAAGAGCCAAGACCAAAGGGGGTCACGGCAAGGAGGGGGATAAAACTGAATCGTCTTAGGTTTACCCAAAAACTTAATTCTGTTCATCTGGATGTAGCGTTTTCAGTGGGAGAAATGTTTCATCACATTTTAGGTTTCCCCATCCGTATAAACAGGACATTTGCATATTGACTGAAACTAGCATCACTGACTAACATAGAATAATCCTTTAATTGTCCCACAAGGGGGAAATTTGGTTGTAACAGCAGCCAAAAAGACAAATATACAAACAAACAGTACACAGGACACGGAACAGAAACATACACAATTTTTTCTTACATATTTACATTAAGGACAATGGTTACTATAAACAGAGAGTACTGTACAGTTATTAAATTAAATAAAAATAATTACAGGTAAGAGGCAAACCAGGTTGTAGTGCGAATTGGTTAATTAACTAACTTATTGCAGTTACAGCATTGATGTAAACATCTATGTTTGTTGGGAGCAGTTCAGATTGTACAGTCTGACAGCTGCAGGGAGGAAGGACCTGCGGAAACGCTCCTTCATGCATCTAGGATGCAGCAGTCTGTCACTGAAGGAGCTCTGAACATGGTGAAAGATCTACCCTTAGGCCCATTTTTGGCACAGAAATAGTCTTTCCCTTTTCACGTAAATGACGTCTTTAACCAGTCCTTGATCCTTACAATTTCAAAACAGACTTGGAACAATCTGGAATGGGCTCTTTGGGGCAGATGGCCATATGCTGTGATCACTGTACTTAGCATCTAGCTAGCATTACTGAAGAGGAATGAGGATAAAAGGAATGCATTTCATTTAAGCTGGCAGATAATTTCACATGAAATGTTCTATCAGCTCATCAACTATCAGTAAACACACAAAAGCTTTTGTGGAGTTTGTCGTGCAGCGTGTCTGTTAGCTAAAGGTACAGCTGCTATATTTCCGAAGCAGAGTGTGAGATAACTTCACTCTGAGATGGAGAAAGATGTAAGAAAGACAGGACAGTAGAAGAAGAGTGGTTAGAATCAAAAGTAAGGACTTTTAAAGTCAAGATAGTTCCCAAAGTAGTTTCTCAGCTTCCAACATGTTTAACTACTTTATGTGAAAGTTGTCTGTGTAATTTGGACAATTTAGTGTTTACTGGGACAGAGAACTGCAAACCAGGTAAGACACATTTCTGATCAGTCAGCCATAGTTTAACAGAAGTAACCAATTTGTTTAGGTGGGACAGAACTGTTATGTTTTGCACTAAATTTCTTAACATTTACCATATCACAGGTGACGTTTAGCCCCACGATAAAGCAGCACAGAGGATTTTACGTTTCATTTTCTAATTTTAAACATTTTTCAGTAACAATCATATTTCTAATTAATATAGTGGATTTTTTTGTGTTTCCTTATAACATGTAGGGCACACTATAGCAAGCAGAGCAAACCATGTTTTTGTTGTTATGTTAGATACTTTTCTTTCGTCAGTGCAAGTTAGTATGGAAGTGCTTATTAACATTTTTCTTAAATTTACAAGTAAATAAACAGGTTCCCAAATTTTAACCGATCGATCCTCTTTTGTCGCGTCTCAGTTTCTCGACTCCTTTATAGTGTTTCCTGTTTCATACTTGAACAGAAGACGCAAGAAGAAGAATAGTTTGAGCCAAATTAATCATCCTTGCGCCTTTGAATTGAATGAAAAACATGAGTTATAACCTCCTTCTTTGCCATGACACCTACTGGCTGTTTTTACACACTGCTGTAAAAAGTATGTGCTCCTTTCCTGATTTCTTCTTTACATGTTTCAGATCATCAAATTTAAATATTAGACAAAGATAACTCAAGTATATTCAAAATACAATTTTTAAATGAATCATTTATCAAGGCAAAAAAAGCTATCCCAACCTAAAGTAATTGCCCTCTAAACACAATGACAATAAGCATCTTTATCTGATTTAAGACTGGACTTTGACTCTGCCCCTACAAAACCTTAATTTTTATTTTTTTGAACCAAACAGAGGTGAACTTTCAGTTGTGGTTTGAATCATATGCATGATCAAGAGTTCTTGAGCTTCAAGGCATGAACTGATGACATTTAAAGATTTTCTAAGAGATGGATCCATCAACTACAGCAAGTCATCCAATTTCATGCAGGTCTGGATAGCTTTTTCCCCTTAACAAAAAAGATATCTTTTAAAAACAGGCATTTTACATTTACTTGCGTTGTCAGTTTCTAACATTTAAATTAGTTCAATGATCTGAAACAAGTGTGACAAAGATGCAAAAAAGAAATCAGGAAAAGACAAGTACTTTTTCCAAGGGACTATATGTCAGATGTTAAAAAGCCTCCTTCTCTCAGATGGGATTTAAGTAATTGATACATGGATGAAGAGTGCTGAGGACAGATGTTGGAAGACATTCAGAGGAGGGGGAAAGCAGTAGCCATACAGTCCATACGGAATTGAAACTTTAGGGAAAAAATAATTAACACACTAAAAAGTCACTTACTTCATTGCCCTTTCGACTGCAGGATTTTGAGTAGAATAAAGCAGGTGGGAGAATTGTCCCAAATTGTCCATATGGGAGGCAAAGAGGTCAGTTTTGACAAAGCTTGGGCAAACTGCATTGAAGCATAAACCGTAGCCTGAGGCGGACGAGGCAGCCTAGTAAAAGAAACGCATACGACTGAGGCGCATCTTAAAATACAAAACCAAAATAAAGTCAAGTTTCTATGAATTACTTTGTTTAATCATTATAACTTATCATATCCTTACAGCCATGGCTCGAGTGAAGCCGACCACTGCATGCTTGGTGGCTGTATAGACGGGAAAACTTTATACTCAGTCCTTTTAAGTTATGTCAACTTATTCCCATGGGAGACATGACTGAAAACTTTAAGTACCAGTTACTGAATATTTTTTGAATGTAATGACTAAACAATTTCTTTAAGTTGTGCTAACATCTTTGGGTTTACAGTGTGCCGAAGTTGGTAATGAAAAAATAGAATACTTTGTGTGCTGTTGGACACCTGACATTAAATTTAAATAATTTTGGGCTGTCATTTCTTTGTATCATGACTGTAATGTGTTTTTCTAATAGTTATGTTGTTAAACACAGTGATGTTTCCAAAAAAAATCACCACTGTTTTCTTTGTGTATACTTTACCTTTGATCTGCTCCTCAGACTCAACATTGCACTTGAAGAACAGCGATCTCTCTTCTCCATACTGTTTGTTGAGGGCTTCCTTTAAAGTCTTCCCTGCAGTTTCATTTATATCCAAAAGAGTTACCTGAACAGGTGAAGGCGAGCAGAGATAAACACCTGTGGCTTACTACATTTGGAATTGTTTATAGTTTATAGATTAATTTTTTAATAGTTAATGTTCATTCAGCATTTAAAATTTCCGCCCTGACCCACTGCAGCTTGGGGTTCAGATGGTTGAAGTACATTGGTCCAGTGTTTAACGATTGACCGAAGCACAGAGTTCTGAAAAATAAGTGCCAGCCAAGGACCAACTCAGTGAAAAAGAAACATTTGGCCTTTTTTATAGCATATGTTCAGTTTCAGAGACTATGTGAACTGTATTAATAATTTTCTTTGAAGTTTCAAAATAAAAATAAGGAGTGCAGTCAAATACTGTTCAACTTGGATATTACATTTTAAGTAGTTTTGTTAATTTCTGTGCCACAAAAAGAAAACAAGACAATGTAGATAACCACAAAAGATATGTGAAACTTTGATATAATCTTTAACGGGATAAAATGCTAAACAGAAAACTGGTTAGCACTTATGTAAAATCATTTCTAGCTTCTTTTTTCCCCTCTACAAAGATATACTGGTGTCCAACTTTACCTTAGCACCATTTTGCAGAAGTATCTCAGTTATTGCTTTTCCTATCCCCAGCGCTGCTCCGGTCACTACTGCAGTTTTCCCATTTAATGCCATTTCTGCTCTTCAGTAAGAAGACAGTCAGATGTGTGCTGTGTGATATCCACATCTGAACAGAGACAAGTCAGTGTGCTTTTATATTAAACTACTGCAGCCTGCTGGGAAAGCTGATTAACGCTTTAAAGCTAGTCGGAGCGGGCATGCTCCATTTTGCGTAACTATTTTTAAATCCCGGTAGAACTGCAACTTGAAATGCTCCCAAAAATGGTACTACAGCATGTAAAAATATAATATAAGCTCTGGCGGAGTTGATTCTATGGTAGGTCTTAAAGGGTTAACCCTCTACAGCATAGGTGTCAAACTCTGGCCCGCAGGCCAAATTTGGCCCGCAGCCTAATTACATTTGGCCCGCGAAGCCATACCAAATTACTATTAGAGCTGGCCTACCAGTTTTGAATTTTGGCCCACTGTGTATGTGAGTTTGACACCCCTGCTCTACAGCATAGCGTTGCCCTGAGGCAACAAACCACATTTTCATGCCTTACACTGGCCCTTCAAAAAAAAAACAACTTTTTTTTTCAAATAATGCTACCAGACACATCTCTTTCCAATAAAATGATGAGTTGAAGGTGGTGTGACTTTCATTTTGGGGGGGAGGACCCCTTTCTGCAAGCTGCACTACATGAGGGACATCTCCATTAGGAGGCAAGATAAAGATCACTATTTTACATGTTTATAGTGAAATAAATGTATATTAAAAAATACTTGTATGTGCATGAATATGTTAAGAAGCATATTTGATTTTTTGTTCTACTTTTTAAAATTTATTTATGCAGTAAAACTGTTAATTTTCATTCGTTGCCTCAAGGCAACACTGCGCAGTTAGCCCAATTTTTTTCAGGCAATATAATGCATTTCCATATGAGTCTAGAGATGTGTTTGTGTGCATTTATATGATCATAGTCAATGTTTTTTACTTTACAATCTACTCATAATTACAGGACATGGATGTAAATACCTTTTATGGAAGGAAACCAGAAAGTGAGGACAGTGAGCTTTCAGGGAGTGACATTGAAGTGGAGGAGTGGATCCCTGAATGAGGTTTGCGGGACACTTAGGAGCTCAGGGGTCAGTTGGTAAAGTAACTGTGTGTGCTAGTGCCGACATAGCAAGCAGGTCTGGCCAGGATCTGGTATCAAGTCGGCACTGCTGGCCGACTTCTGGCATGATAAGATGTATGTCATCAGGCCTGGCATAGATGGCACTGTCTATGTGATGGCATGCCATATCTGGCTTGATTGTGGCTTGGTTTATGTGGCCCAGGCCTACAGAAAACAGGTCTGGCCCAGATCTGGCATCAAGCTGCCACTTGTGAGTGACTGGTGTTTTGGCAGAGTGTATGTCAACCAGATGTGTGCCAGGTCTGGCAATGACGCCACTGTTTATGCGATGGCATGCCATATCTCAGGTGGTAGAGCAGGTTACAAACTGATCGGAAGGTTAGCGGTTCGATCCCTGGCTCCTCCAGTCTGCATGTCAAGAGTATGAATGTAGTTAGGAAGCACTCAGTTAAGCAAAAGTGGCATGTTGTATAGAGCAGTTTGAGTAATCTGGGAGAGTAGAAAAGCGCTATATAAAAATCAGTCCATTCACTGTCTGAACAGAGTTTCGGCATGTTACTTTTGCATGTTCTGGCACATGTTGTTATTGCATGGCTTGATTAAGGTACTCATTAGGCTGACATGAGCTGAAACTGTTCTGGGCCAGCACAGGGCCAGCAGTGTTTCTACAACTGGCCCGTGGCTGCACACCACCTACAGATGGCCCACATACCGCAATGAATGATGGCCCTTTGGTGGCCCAGATCAGGTTTGCCAGAAGTAATCCACACATGGGCCAGCACAGGACCACCAGTGTGTCTGAAACTGGCCTTGTGCTGGCCCATGTGTGGGCCACCTCTGGCAAACCAGGTCTGGGCCACCAAGGGGCCGTCATTCTTTGCGGTATGTGGGCCATGTGTAAGCACATTGTGTGGGCCAGATCTGGACCATACCAATTTTGCTGTGTGTGTGTGTGTGTGTGTGTGGACGTGTACTACTTATTGTTGTGGGGACACAAATTTGTTTACACACTCCCATTGTGAGGTCTTGCCTACTTTATGGGGACTAATTGCAAGGTAAATCATTAAATTTTAGGGTGAAGGCTTGAGTCTGGGTTAGGGTAAGGTTCAGGCAGGGACCTGTGATGGGTAGAGTCTGGATAAGTCTCCAGGAAATGAATGTAAGTTAATGTAATGTCCCCAAAAGTGATGGAAACACAACGCATGTGTGTGTGTGCGCACACATGCACGCACACATGCATGGTGTTAGGGTCAAATGTTGGATGTATTTTGGTGTTTTATTGTTCTGTGAAATGTTTACATTGTTTATTTGTTGTTTATTTATTTGTTCATCCTTGTTGTACTAATACAACTTATTATAGAATAACTGCACTTTCTGGGGCATTTTACTACCTTGTCGCACAGTGTTGCCTTGAAGCAACAAACCAATATCTGTTTTGGGGGGGGCAGGGTGTCAAATTTTATGATTGATATATTATTAGGGACCCTAAAGCTCCCCCAAAATAGGGAGAAATATTTTTTTCCCAAAAAATTAAAAAGCATGCAGTAGAGGGTTAAACATCAATCGGGTAAATTCTAGGGCAGGGCTGGACCTGGACACAAAATCGGCCCTGGCACTTTTGGTCCAGGTGGCCCATCATGATTGCTTATGCACTGCAGCAGTGCAGCACGTGACAATTAAAAGCTACAATTAACGCTGTTAATGGTGACTCATTCATTGTACTTGAATCGATCTATTTTACCCCAGCAGCTAACATTTCGGTTAAATTCACACATTTTTCTGCATTTATTTTTAGGTTTTTTTTTCTGTCATGGCTCTAAACGTCTTCATCAAGCTGCATGAGAGTAGAGCGAAGGGAGGGGGGGGGCCTTGGCGTTACGTGATTTGATTGGGTAATAGTGTCAGCGATGAAAATGAACATTTTTTTGAGTAATCAATCTCTATCCGGGTTTAACTGTGGATCCCAGATTCTGTGGTCAGCTTTTCTTCTGAGTAAATCTTCCTTGTTAAGTTGCTCCTTTCAATTAACCTGAGTGACCTTTGCAGATGCCCATCGGCAAGACATTTCTTTCACCCCGGACCAAAACTGTTTCCGCCCGGTTTCGAACCGGGGACCTTTCGCGTGTGAGGCGAACGTGATAACCACTACACTACGGAAACGATGTCGCGATGGGATCCATCCCCAGAGCATTAGAAGACCCAGAAGTGCGGGAGTCGCTGTGTGCGATATTTTGCAGTTACACAACGCACACAGTTTGAGTGGCACAGACCGTCTGATAAACTGGAACGGTAAGCTGCAGTTAAGTTTGACTGAATCCCCCCTGAACACAAACACATTACACTGAAATTGTCATAATTTAAATAAAATAATATCGCTGAATTTATGTGTTTGCAGGTTCAGCTGATGTTCATTATTATTGTGCCCAGTTTCTACTGACGAAAATTCAGCAGAAACTGTTTTTTCTGTGGAGTGACAGTCACATATGTAGTATATAACACATATACACTACATATTTTGATTGTGATTACGTAACTCATAGTACTTGCACGTCACATCTTGATGCATGCTCAGTGATCCAGGTAAGTAAATCCCCAAAAGTTGATTCTGTTCATCTGGACGTAGCGTTTTCAGTGGGAGATACGTTTCGTCACTCATCAACGTTATTTCTTCAGTCTCAGCAGGTTTCCAAAATCTTATAAACAGTATATTTGCATAATGAGTGAAACTAGCACCACTGAAGGAACAATGGGCTGGGAGGTCAGTGCCTTGATCATTAATATGAAAATTCTCATGACCATTGATCAGTGGTCAGTCATTATGCAAATGTACTGTTTATAAGACCGGGGAAAGATAAGAATGAAGAAGTCGCTTGGATGAGTGAGGAAACGTGTCTACAAATGATACGCTACGTCCAGATGAACAGAATGAATTTTCGGGGACATTTTCACGTAAGACTTTTGTATGTATTGGTATAACAATGGATATACTAGTTGTGATTATACTGAAATGTAATATAAATGTGTTTCCGCCCGGTTTCGAACCGGGGACCTTTCGCGTGTGAGGCGAACGTGATAACCACTACACTACGGAAACCGCTCCAGAGATGCTAAAGGGTCCTTTCTCCAAAAAGTGAACTATAGATCACTGAACTCAAAGACATCCTACAACGACAAGGACAAATGAGCGAAAGTAGTTTTCAGCATTGTCTTCTACTGTTATTCTATACATTATACATTCTCACTCAGGAGAGTGCACTTTCTTTGTATCGTGACTGTAATGCCTTTTTCTAATGCTTAATGTGTTAAACACAGTCCGGTTTCAACTAAATCTTGACCCGCACCGAGCCAGCAGAACTACAGTACTCTGACAAACGAAGAATGTGGATGAAAACAGAACTCAAAACACCCAACCCTTCAGATAAGGCTGTGCGATATGACCAAAATCTCATATCCCGATATGGGACATTTATGAACACAATTCCCAGAAACGTCTAATTTTAAAGATAAAAGTGTTCTGCCAGTGGAGATGCTTTAATGTATCAGATTTTCAAATTAAATGTCTATTTTTTTTTCTTTTTAATTTAATTGAACCTCTGACAATAAAACTATCAACTGCTGTCTTTATTCAGCTTTGTTTGGCCAGCCTGTTTGCCTCCTCTTTTCAGCAGCAAGCCACAGATCAAGTCTGGCAGAAGCAACATTCCCACCGTAATTTCTTTGGAAACTGTGAAGTCTAATTTATTTAGCAATTTTGCAGCTTTAGAATAAATGGATTAAAATACAAAGCGCATTCTTCACTGGCAGCTCTAAACAGCCCAAGAAAGTCCACCCCAAAATGAGTGCAAGCCATATTTGGCTCAGTTAGACTATAGTTGGCCAAGCTGTGTTCTCCAGAACAAGACAAGTTGGCTGACTGTGGTCCATTGATTGACACATTGTTATTGCTTTTACATTCACTTGCTCTCTCTGGCATGTCATATGTTAGAATCTGCTTCTCTTCCTGATGGGGGGTGACAAATAAAAAGCCACCAACTTCTCTTTGTTTCACATTCTCTTATTTCTTTGCAGGCATACGGACGCTGACCTTCTCGGTCCCTTCTTCTACTGAAATGGCTCTGAGCGGTAAAACTGCAGTAGTGACTGGAGCTGCGATGGGAATAGGAAAAGCCATAACGGAGATTCTTCTAAAAAATGGTGCCAAGGTATGTGTGGCATTGTAGGCATTGACTGAAAAGGTAGACACATCATCATTTAACAGTGTAGGAAGAGATATTTATTATATATAAGATAACTAAAGATAACTAAACAACTTGCCTGGATTCAGATATTTTTACACTAAGTTACAGCTCACATGATCAGCTCAGGAAAAGGGCATTGGGGCATTTTCTTCATAGATAAAGAGATCTTCTTATTAAACCAATCTCTACTGTACGTGAAGATGCAGCAGCTTTATTGGTGGTGTACATTTCCACGGAAAACTTACCAACACCCTTCAGTTGGAAAAAACAACTAAGAAAGTTCCTGTTGACATCATGCCAAAAACGAGGTAAAAAGTAAACAGTTGCTTTAGTGGTTGTCAACCTGCGAGGGTGTGGGTGGGGTGTGGTGGAGTTGCGGTGCAGTTAAATTAAACTGAATGATTTTCCCAGAGAAAACAACCAAACAAGAGTTTTTTATGATATCATGCTAAAAGAAAGGCTAAAAGTCTGAATGTGATTCTTCTGAGATAAAAGAGGGACATAGCCTCAATCTAGTCTTTAAGTATTTATTTGCCTCAAGCAGTTCGAACAAAACAAATACATGGATTCTCCTTCAGTCAGAAAATCAGTCAGTCTGCAAGCAGTTCACTGTAGCCAACGTTTTAATATTGTACAATTAAAACGTGGATCATATTCGCTTGTTTCTTTACATGTGCTGCTTATTATTACACAGGATTATATATAGAACTGTGCTTCTTTCACGTAAGTCTAAAGGCTTATGTGAAAGTATCCCCAAAAGTTGATTCTGTTCATCTGGATGTAGAGTATCACAAAAATTGGCATATTAACTGACCTCCCAGCCCATAGTTCTTTCAGTGGTGCTAGTTTCAGTCATTATGTAAATTGTTTGGGGTCAGGCATGGTCACGGCACACCTCTTTCTATCGGTCAGGCGAGGTCCTATATGCGTTAGCAAGCTGCTTCTCTTTTTCTGTATAAGGACTTTTACCCTGGTTATGCGTCCCCATCTCAGTGGGGACGCGTAACCAGGCTTCACTTCCCCAATTCTGTACCAGCCTTCGCACTGGTCTGCACAAACAACTTCTAAATATACTCAGGCATACCACGGCCAAATATATGTCTGCAATAAAATGCAGAGATGTAGGTGTGAAATCTAACTATGTATACGTGCAGAATTAAACTACGAGCAACAGTAACAGTGGCCTGCATGCCCAACCCGGGCTTCATCACAGCTCACCAGGCTACAGGCAGAATCGCAAAAATAAAGTACGATTTATAAAAAATGGTCGACCTCACAACTCCTGTAGGCGGTGTGGGAAAAACTTATCAACACCCTTTAATTACTGCAAGTCTGTCAAAGTAGTTCATATGTTTTCAAATAGCCTAGATGGGTACCTAACAGACTGACAGCGTATCTGTCCTTTCTGTCAACAGGTTGCACTTCTGGATAAGAATAAAGCCGCAGGGGAGAGTGTGGTCGAAGCCCTGAGCAAAGAGTATGAACCAGATCGAATGCTGTTCAGGGAATGCAACATAAAATCAGATGAGGAGTTCAAAGGTAAAACACATGACATTGGAAATCAAATTATAAATGTTGGAGGTACAAAGGTTAGCATAATTGTAAAGCACTGTTTTCTCCTCTCTCAGCTGCCTTTCAGAAAGCCGTAGAAACCTTTGGAGGAATCGACATCTTGTGCAACAATGCCGGCATGTTCGATGAGTCTGAGTGGGAGAATATGGTCTCCACAAACCTCGTGAGAAAGAGAAAGCACAACAATTAATTATATTTATAATACCTCAAATTTATGAATTGCTGATTCATTCAGAAAGATGTTGTTCGTTTTATTAGTTAGTCTGAAATAAACAATTGGCAACCTGAGAAAGTCCAAATTTAGTAGGCTTGGGTTACATTAGTCTTCCTGTTATTCATCACAATGTTTTGTATGCAGATGACTGTATGAAGTGTTTACAGAGAGAAAACAGATTTTCACTGTATGAACTGATGCCAAAATAAAGTTTTTTTTCCTGTAGGTGGGCTCTATTAGGGGAACTTATTTGGCTCTGGAGCACATGAACAAATCAAAGGGAGGTCAAGGAGGGGTCATCATCAATGTTTCATCCTTGGCAGGTAAATACTGTAAATTCAAATTGGAGACATACCAGACTAGGATTGTAAATGTCATTACGTTAACAACACTAAACTTAAACCCTGTACAATGATTGATATAACCCATCCTACAGGTCTTGGACCTTTGCTTACGGGTCCTGTCTACTCAGCTACTAAACACGGGCTGGTCGGATTCACTCGATCCATTGCAGTAAGAGAGATTCTCCCATGAGATTGTTTAAGAAGATTTAAAAAAAACTATCAAATTTCTGCAGAAATTAATTGAAACTAGAGCAAATTTAATACTAATAAAATGTTTGCCTTACTTTTTCATTTTTAACTTTATTGTTTGGCATTTCCTGCACATTGACCTCACAGTTCAGTCTGAGGCAGCGCTCACACATAACATCAAGTGAAAAAGAAAGTATTCACAGGACTCTGCTGTGAAAAACACCACGTTATTCAACAGCTTGTAGAGCCACCGTTTAGCAGCAATAATATCCAGTAACCATCCACGTATGACTCCCATTGTTGGGGAGAAATTTTAACTCGCTCTCCTTTTCAACATTTTTTCAGCTTTATGGAAGTTTGCAGGTATTTGTCTATGCACTGATCTCTTTGACTGCAAGTCCTTCATTATTTTCTTTTTGGGCCATTCTGTTGTAGATTTGCTGCTTGGGAGCATTGTCCTGTTCCATGAACAAATTTTAAACAAAATGTACTGGTTCTGGAAAGACAGCCTCAAATTTGACTCTGGTTTCACTTCAACACTGGCAAACAGTTTGTGGTAGTTTGTTTAATTACTTTTGTCTGAAAATGTCTGTAATTCCTAAATGGTTACTACAATTCTTTGGATGGTTAAATTTATAATCAAGTGTGGACGTGTACAGAGGCAAAATTAGAAAAATGTGCAAACATTGTGCACATGTACGATATGTGCAGAATCTTTCAGACTTCATCTTTAAATTTGGAACCTTTGGACACTGAACTTCCAAAATGCAAATGTGGAAACAAAGAGCACTTGTTGTTTATCCTCACACTACTACTTAAAAAGCCTAACTATGTGTTGTTTTTTTTCCAATAGGCTGCCTTTGCAGCATCAGACTATGGTATACGGGCCAATGCTATCTGCCCAGGTTTTGTTCAAACAAACCTGATCTCTGAAATCAAATCTCAAACGGGCCAATTTGCCCACCTGGTAGATGCAAGACTTCAGATACGAGACAATCTTGGGGTGTTAACGTAAGTCTTTGTTTGTAGTAACCCCTACAACATCAACATTTTGGGGGGGGGTTTCCCCCTCTACAACTGGGTTTAAAATCATCTTAAATTGCATATTGTATCTTTTTGACGCAGTGCAACCGAGGTAGCAGAGTGCATCCTTGAGCTGGTAACAGATGAGACCAAAAATGGAGAGGCCCTCGTGGTCGTAAAGGACTCAAAATTTTATGTGACTTTCCCAACACTGGATAAGAGCAGTGACAAACCATAAAATCATCATGTCAGTATCTGATATCATTCTTTAAGTATACTTAAAGTTAAAACACACACACACACACACACACACACACACACACACACACACACAAAAATACTCCTCAAACTATGTTTTGTTTTGGTTTTGCCCCCCTCATAAGATTTTTGGTATTGTGTGTCATTATTATGTACCTTGAAAAGTTTTGAATTAATTCTGGTAAAACTTTGTAAGGGTTTGGAGTGGGGTCATGTTAACAACCTATTAAAATTTGGCTTACATCCAACAAGGTTTTCATGGTCAACTTAATGATTTTTTGGTTAAAAATGGGCAAAAATCCTTATTACTTAGAGCACCTCATAAAGATTTTAAATATCATGTCACATTTGATGTCTGACCTCTCCTTCAAGGTCAAATAAGGTTAAAATATATTTATAAAAGGTCTTCTATCTTTAAACTGTGCTTAAACAACTGTAGTGTGGTATCATGTTCACCTTACACAAGAAAGTCTGGTTTCAGATCACTACAGTGAACAAACAATCTTCATGAACAATGAGGCTTCTGAACTGCTTAAATTCCTCTACTAATACACTATTAAGTATCATGGGAAAATAATGTGAGTTATTCATGAGCAGCCATCCACGATTGACTGAAGTGGCTGTTGACTAGTGGGATCGCTGTTGAAGCACAGATTGATTTATTAATCATAGTGAGCGATGTGTGGATGCAGGCAACCACTAAATAGATTCAAGAACTGTACTAATTTCATTTCATATCCTTATGCTTTCTTGTGATGGGCATTGTATTGACATTCATATTGAGATCCATGCAGACAGCAACCGGATTTTGAGATACAGATTCACACAAACAGCCAAGACTAGATTCTTTTGACTAATTTTCAATAAAATATTATCTGTCACTGTTGGGAGAACATTTTTGCGACTTCTATTCTTATACTTTAGAACACATGACATTTTTAATCATTTTCTTCTTCGGATGCTGTCACAAATCATATTTATTTTAGAACATATGACAATTTTGCATATCATTAATATAATATAATATTGTACAATTAAAACGTGCATCATATTCGCTTGTTTCTTTACATGTGCTGCATTTGTATTCCGATTGACCCTTTGGTGACGCATGCGTAGTTTCCGTAGTGTAGTGGTTATCACGTTCGCCTAACACGCGAAAGGTCCCCGGTTCGAAACCGGGCGGAAACATGTTTTTTTTTTTTTTTTTTTTCTTCTTCAAACATGGCTTCACATGTACAGCGAGATTGCAGTGCATAAATATTGTAAACTTTGTTTCAGTGTTGAGATTTACAATTGTTCCTACTGTGTATTAGTTTTCACATTTGCCTGATTTGTGAAAGGTCAAAGTGGAAACACAATTTCACTTTTCTTTACTCTGGGATTAGACGGTGCGGGTTTCCCAGAGCTCAAGCACTTCAACGCGTTCAAACTTGAAAACAGCCCGCAACACTGTTTTGCAGTTTTCAGTTCCCATGAAGGAGTCTGCAAAAATGTCACTATAAGTCTGCTTTAAAATGCACTTCCTCCCGTTTGGTGTGTGTTTCAGAAGACTCCCAATCATATCACACACAATATGCCAGGGGCCACAGATGTAATGCTTGGGGAATGTAACACATTAGGATTGATTATTACAGGACGCTGTTTACGCACACACGGGCCATTTTTCTTATCTGCACCCTGCTTGTTGGACCTCCTCTTGCCTTCAGAACTGCCTTAATTCTTTGTGGCACAGATTCAACAAGGCACTGAATACACTTCTCAGAAATGTGGGTCCATATTGACCTGATATCACACAGCTGCTGCAGGATTACTGGCTGCATGTCACTGATGCAAAACTCTACTGATGCTCTAATTGACTCAGATCTGGTTACTGCGGAGGCATGCATGTTCAAGAAACCGGTTTGGGATGATTTGAACTGTGAACAGCCAGTGGTACAACCAGGGATTTGGGGCGCCTTGAAAAAACTACTTTAATACCAAAAACCATGCCAGGCCAAAAAACATTGTTTTTTATTCTGTTTAGTTTTTAATCTGATTTTACTCTCATCACCTGCAACAGTCTGACACAGTGTACAACAGTGATAGACAGCAATACATACTTCTCCAAAATTTCTCTCTTTATGTGAGTTTTAGTGATAGTAATGTATTAGTACTACAAAATAAATAGTGTGTAGTAAAACATATTAAATTCCCAAGCATCCTCCTGCAATTAGACACATTTTTTGACATAAATAAACTCACCTGCTTCTTCGGATATCAGTGGGACTGGTTCAGTGTCTGGAGTGTGAGTATGGGGAGATGGGAGTGGGAAAACTAAGCCTCATGTCAATATCTGATATCCTTATTTAGGTATTTGGCAGATGCTTGAAAAAAAAAAACAGCAACAAAAAACCCAAACAAATAAAACAAACAAAAAATTCCTCAAACCATGCTTTCTTTTCTTTGCCAAGAAGGTTATGTTTTTGGTATTGTGTCTCATTATTCTGTATGTAAACACTTATAGAAAGTCCCCGATAAAGATTTTAATATCATGTCACATTTGACCTCTGACCCCTCTTTCAAGGTCAAATAAAGCCAAATTTTCATAAAATGTCTTTTATTTTCAAACTGTGCTTAAAGGACTGCTAAAAAAAAACATTACAACATCAAAACCAGTCTAACTATAACCCATGTCTGTGGCAGAAACTGACCCCAGAGTGACACTCCACCAGTGTCTGTAGTGTGGTATCATGTTCGCCTTACAAGTCTGGTTAATTAATGCAGTTCTGAATGCAAGAGGAGGTTCAGCTAGCAGGGTGCAGATAAAAAAAAGTGTCCGGAGTGTAAATAGAAACCATCCTGTAATAAAGAATCTTAATGTATTACGTTACTCAGGCATTACATCTGTGGGTGTTGGTATATTGTGTGCATAATCAAGTTTGAACGCGTTGCTTGAGCTCTGGGAAACCCGCACCGTTTAATCCCAGCGTGAAGAAAAGGAAAAGTGTGTTTCAACTTTGACCTTTGTCCATGACCATTGACCATGTCAGGCAAACATGAAAACCACTACTCTATTTATGCTCCATTTAATCTTCTTGTGGCTTCTGTTCTTGAAGAGAGAGATCTAGAGAGGGAGAGGAAGACAGATCTCCCAATAAAAATACATTTTTAAAAAGCAGAATGGACTTTTGCATCACAGAAAAAAAGGAAAACATAATTTTTTTTCTATCAACCAGAAATGCAATTTTTAGCTTTTGATTTATTACCTTTGAATCGCTCAGAATCAGAAAGGGTTTTATTGCCAAATGTTGGGCAGGTTTACAACATTAGGAAATTGCTGCGGTACTTAGTGCAAAACATACTGTAAGACAAACACTTAAATAACTCATAAAAATAAAAATTAAAAGTGCTAACCAGATTGATATATACATGTACGCAGGTAATGATCAGTGCAAAAATGGAACAGATGCAGAGAACACAGTATAGGGTTGTGTGTTTGTGGTGGGAAGAGTCATATGGTTATTGTTCATTAGTCCAACAGCAGAGGAGAAGAAACTGTTCTTATGGCGAGAGGTTCTGGTCCGAATGGACCAAAACCTCCTGCTTGAAGGGAGCAGGTCAAACAGACTGTGTCCAGGGTGAGAAGGGTCAGCTGTGATCCGAGCTGCATGCCCCAGTGTCCTGGAGGTGTACAGGTCCTGCAGAGATGGGAGTCTGCAGCCAATCACCTTCTCAGCAGAACACACAACACGCTGCAGTCTCTGTTTGTCCCTGATGGTGGCTCCAGCGTACCACATGGTGATGGAGGAGATGAGGATGGACTTGATGATTCTAGAGTAGAATTGCATCATCGTCCGTGTTGGCAGGTTGCATTTCTTCAGCTGCCTCAGGAAGTACATCCTCTGCTGGGCCTTCTTTATGACGGAGGTGATGGTGGTACCCAGGAAGCAGAATGAGTCCACAGTGGTGATGAGGGTGTCAGTCAGGATGATGGGGGAGAGTGGGGCTGTGTGCTTCCTAAAGTCCACAGTAATCTCCACTGTCTTCTGGGCGTTCAGCACCAGGTTGTTGTGGCTGCACCAGGACACCAAACGTTCAACCTCCCTCCTGTAGACAGACTCATCCCAGTCCGAGATGAGTCCGATAACAGTGGTGTCATCTGCAAATTTAATTAGCTTGACAGACTGGTGGTTGGAGGTGCAGCAGTTGGTGTACAGGGAGAAGATCAGAGGAGAAAGAACACAGACCCGGGGGGAGCCAGTGCTGATGGTCCGGGAGTCCGAGACTTTCTTCCTCAGCCTCACATGCTGCTTCCGGTCTGTCCGGAAGTCAATGATCCACCGGCAGATGGGATCAGGCACATTCATCTGGGAAAGCTTGCCTTGGAGATGGTCTGGAAGGATGGTTTTGAAACAAATAGGCACAAACAGGTTCCTGGCGTAGGTTCCCGGGGAGTCCAGATGCTGCAGGATGAAGTGTAGAGCCGTGTTGATAGCATCATGTACAGACTTATTGGCTCTGTATGCTAACTGCAGGGGTCCAGGAGGGGGGCCGTGAGGGTCTTGAGGTCTTGATCTCTGAAGGGGTGAACGCTCTTCCTTTAGTGGAGAAGTCAAGCTGGGCCAGTTGTATTTTGCAGAAAGGATGGAAATTACTGTGGTGAACATGCCCTTTATGAAGAAGAAGGAACACGGGGTGACACAGAAGAGTGATTGAAGGTTTACGCAGAAGGATATCTTATGCAGAAGGTGCAATGTGAAAGAGATGGGTGAGAATGTATCTAGGCAGCATCGGATGGCAGTCTGTAGGATGACTTTGGAAATTGAAAAGAGGAAGAGAATAAGAGGTGGAAGAAACTGGCCTAACTTCAGTGAGGGGTTGAGACAAGTTTTTGTTAGGAGAGTTACCAGATTGATACCTTAGGTGTCCAACAATCTTGTGAACACTCAAAGCCTTATCTTAGGGGCTAATAACTATACAACATCTTTTCTACCATTTCACGTCATGGAATACTTATTAAGACTGAAACTTTACTGTAATTCTTTCAAGTAAACCAAATAAATATGTTTCCGCCCGGTTT